GGCTCCTTTTATTTAGACAGCTTAGAAGGAAGCAATGAGTAGCAGTGTTACTCTTGTCAGGGGTCACTTCTCATTACGGAGACCAACAATAAGTTATAAATCTAGTGATTTTTGAAAACCATTTGCAAGGCATTAATTGCTGTAATTTGGAGATTCAGAGCTATAGCTACATTGCAATCATCTCTGGAAATCTCAGGGTGTATCTGAGACTTTCTGGAGAGAGAAAATATAATTAGCACCTGTGTTAAGAATTACGTTCACCCCCAAATTTACCCCAAATGGCACTTTGATATTTTCAATTTTTTTTCCTTTGTATTCCCAATAGGATGTATATACTGCTTAAAATGCCTGGAGAACAATTTATTTTCTGATCCAGGAGTATATATTTTCTCTCCAGATTAGCTAAAAGTCACCTGGACTGACTTGTACAATGCAAAACCTTATTAACAATTAGCCAAACACAAGCAAAACTCACACTTCTTGAGAGTAAGAAAATGTAAGCCAAGAGAAACACAATCAAAGTGCAGAGTGTGCCAATAAGCCACACCTCACTGGCCAGACGTTCCACCCAAATCCTTTTCCTTTGGGATTTATTTCTATAGAGACCATCTCTCTGTTCCACAAATAAAACTAGGCATTGCTAGGAAACAGTCCGGCTTCTCAGGACTCGACTGAAGGGGGCAGCTACTCCCTACCAGGAGGGACAGGAGTTTGAGGCCGCACCTGACATGTATGCTATTGCTGTATTTCTATTTAGCCACAACAGCCTTAAATTGGTGACATAATTTGTGCCCCGGAATTCTTTTCTCCATCCTGGCCTTGCATTTCCTCTTTTCTTTCGGGTTTCTCCAAATGTATCACCTCGCCACCTTCACGTAATAGTGCCCCAGAACAGTTTGGTATATATTCGCATTACTTCCTTACTCATTCCGTAGATGCTTCCTGTCATATGATTGGTCCTACTAAACTTTTGAAAATTTCCACATGGCTTGGAGTTACTGTTTTCAAAATTTTTATATCAGATTTTTGTTACTTTAAAAAACAAAAATAAAAACAATGACCTAGTGGTTTTTAAGTCTGTTAAAGCAGCCCCAGGCACATTCCCTGAAGTAGTAACTACTGGAGTAGCCCACACTCTCTGTCCTGCCTTCACAAGCAGTTCGTGTCCCTCCTTTTCCCTTCGGCATCTTTATACCACCTAGCAGCTCAGTCAGGATTAACTGCAGATACAAGAGAGCTTCACAGTGAGGACTTAAGCAAAGAGGGGAAGATTTTTTCCACATATGGCAAGAACTTTGGAGTGCCAGTCCAAGCTCATTCTGACTTTCTGCTCTGTCATTCATAGCTTTTAATCTCGATTGATGTCTTACGGTTGCTCCATGGACGCAACAGTTCAAGATATCACATCTTGTCACCACAGCCCCAGGTACAAGAGAAAAGGAAATTTAATGACTCTACAGGAGACTCTGGCTTTTCACTGGAAAAGGAAGTTCCCCCAAAGTCTTTCCCTTACATCTCCCCGGCCCAGAGCTGGCTCACAGCCCACTCCTAGACTACTCACTCGTTGGATTACCATGTAAATTTAGAACTTTCCTGACTCTGGGGAGGGCCTACGTGCCCTGAGATGAATGGCTTGCTGCTGAGCCCTGACCCTGTAAGGAAGAAGGATCAGGAAACAGCTCTCTGTGAAAACCCACAAAGCTGCCACCTACCCCTCTCCACATGGGAGGGCAAAGTCCCCACAGAAGTGAGGCTGCCTCCAGCCTAGAGGTCAGAATAGCCCACCTTAGCCCCAGGAGCAATGGCTATCTCTGTCTAAAGCCAGGTCTCTGTTCACTCATTCTGAGGTCCCAGATCAGCCAGGCTTCCTCTGAAACATAGCTGTGGCCCTTCAACCATAGAAATGAACCAGATTTAATGTCTTAGATGCTGGGACCTGTGCCTTTCAGACTCCTTTGCTGCAGAAGAACTGTTGGAACCAACAACATGCCCTAGAACCCCAAGTACATGGTATTTTCACCTGCAGATGCTAGTCTCTGTGTTCATCCCAGTCCCTTGAGAGGTCTGAGGGCTCCAGTTCTCTCTGCCGTGCCAAAGATCTAAAACTATTAGAAAATACACTAAGAAGAACTAACAAACCCATGGAACTTAAGCCACCATTTATTATTCATTCAGAGTTCTCTGGAAATGGTGAGATGGGAAAATTAAGTGAAATCTCTCATTGCCTACGGGAAATCAAAAGCATGGAAGAAACTTCTGCTTCAGGGCCTAGGGCAGTGATTAGTTCCAGACTAGCCTTCCTGATGGAAACAACTGTAAAACTGGGAGGCAGTGGTTTTCAGACATTGCACGACAGGTGGCTTAAGACGAAAACCCCAGAGGGAAGAGAAACTGATGAGGTGACTCTATGACCACCCACATCTCAGCCAGGGGACAACTTCCTGAGTCCATGGAAGTTCTGACAGGCTGAGGATGCAGAGATCAGAGTATGGATCAACAGGCAGGGCATGGGGAAGGAATGAACTATGGAGGGGTGAAGGTCAGAAGTGCATCGGGATACCCACAAGCCCTAGGCTAATGTCTGGACTGCGCATGTGCAGAGAAACACTACCAAGGCTTTGTAGAGAGTAGCTGCTAACGGGGCTGAGAGTGCGCTGAAGTTCCTAGAGGTCCAGCAGTGCTAGAGAACACTGGAGTTATGACCCAGCCAGAGAAAAGACACGTGGTCGACATTCCAGGCATCCACTCAGACATCAGAAATGCCACTACTTAGAAAGAAGTACAAAGGCCAACAAGGCTTACCATAGATCTAGCCTAACAAAGCCCTAAACAAAGCCCTAACAAAATCCATAGGGGAGACCAAACTTGGAGGCTACATCCCATCAAGTTAGAAGTGCTGGGGAACCACTTTGGGCTTTCCACGGATCCATCCTCACAAAGGGGAAAATTATACCTAGCAAGTTCAAAAAAATAAATCTGCCTACTAGGATAAAAATTAACATTAAAATAAAAATTGTTCTACAGAACTCGGGATTTCTACAACTTAGAATTCTCAATAGCCAGTGTAAAATCAAGAACTGCTGGATATGTAAAGAAACAGGAAAATGGGATCCATGGTCAACAGATAAACAGATAATAGAAACTCCCCAGATACTGGATTTTGCAGAGAACTTAAAGCAGATACATTCGATTCAATTCAAATAACTGAATGAAAATATGGTCTGAGTGAGTTAACATACAGGGAATCTCATGAGAAAAATAAAATATACAAAAAGAAAAAGAAATGAAAACTCTACAAATGTAAAGTCAAACAACTGAAATTTTAAAATCCACTGGATGCGACTGACAACAGAATGAAGATGAAAATATTAAAAGTTAGTAAACTTGAAGATAGGTAAATATTTTAAAAAATCATATTAAAATGAAAAGAAAACAGTTTGGTGAAATCTAAAAAGTTGAAGTTACAAAAAACCAAAAGAATCACTTCCAAAGTCCCATCAAAATTGTAAGACTTTTTTGTGAATATAATAGATATCAGAAATAAAAATACAATTTTTAAATCCTACCTTCCCCATCTTGAATATATATTTAAACACACCTGGGTAAAAACTGTCATAAGAGGAAACAGAAAAATAAAAATTCTTGAAATTTTTTTTGCCATTTTAGATTTCTTGTTATCCAGCATGATTAATAGAGTTACATTAGTAAATACCAATCAATTTTAGTCAACATAAAATTCTTTGTTGCTGTGAAACGTAAATTTTAGTGGGTTGAACATTTTGATAAACTGTCAGCAAGGATGTTACTTTGCCTTAAATCAGAGTTTGTCAAGGGTGGTGCTAACAGATGGCTGTGGGAGGCGGTCCTGTGCATTGCGGGATGTCCAGCAGCATCCCTGGTCTCCCATTCCCTACCCCACTGTGTCAACCAAAAATGTCTCCAGACATTACAAATGGCCTGTAGGGGGTAAAATCGCCCCTGAATGAGAAGCACTGCCATAAACAAATAGGTCTTTTTTCCCCCTAGTTCACTCCAAGAAAACAAACAACAAAGATGCCTGGTTTATAATTTACAGTGAAAGCAAACATGTCTTTCTATTAAAATACTTGATGTTAAATTTTGAAAGGAATTCCCTTCACTGAGTGAAAAACTTCCCCAACTTTGGGGAATGTTAGATTTTTATTATCAGGTTTAATTTAGATTTTCTTTAAGCCCGGTTGGTAGGGTTTGGATTTTTACTTTCAATAAAGCAAATTTTGTATTTTCTGGCATATGCCATTCATCATTCGCTCACCTATGCATAACAAGTGCAAATTAGCTAAACACAGCTGGGACATTTCTATTAAAACAAATAGCAACTTATTCCTAAGTCATTTGTTAGGAAAATATGACACTTTCTTTACCTAACTGATCAAGGACACATCAGGAATTTTGAAATAAAAAGATACCATAGACTGCAAGTTGTTCTTCAAGAAATTCAATCTTTAGAAACTAAAGAACAGTGCAGCTCTCTCAGGTCCCCTCCCTCTTTGGGAGCTTTGTACCATCACTTCACTATTGCTCAATAAACTTTGCTTTGCTGGGAAAAAAAAAAGAAAGTACAGAACATTTTTTCACATCAGTTATCTAAATCGAGACATCTTTTTCATCAGTTTAAAAATATTAGTAAAAGTTAATACCCAATTCTTCCCGAAATGGGACTACTGATTAAGGGCAATGTGAAGCTTTAAAAAGAAAATATTATAAAATCTGCAGGTTCTGGCATTTAATCAGGGTAGAAATATAACCACAAAATTCATATCAGCAAAGGTATTTATTATTGTTGATTCTTTCCCTTCTAAAGAAGAAGGAAAAAGAAGTCCCAGAATCTTGCTGGGTTTATTTGTGTGTGTGGTCCCCCCACCCCCGGACCCCCGCCCAGGAAAAAATACACAATAGTGTACTATCAGAGTAAAAATGTATGCTCTAAGTCACATGCAAGTCCATTTCATGTCACTCACCTATATGATAAAGTCCAATCCAATCACTGGGGTCCACCTCCTCTTTAATATCCCAGAAGATAATGAGGTTCTGGGCTTGCCCCAGCGTGTACTCGTACATGCTCGCAGTCAAGCTGGAGCGGCTCTCAGAAGTCACCAGGTCTGTGTCGCTGTTCGCCCTCTGTAGGGTCATGTTCTCCGGCATGGAGCTCTGGGAAGCCAGGCTCTGGAGGTTCTCTGGGCTCAGTGTGTACCGCATCTGGGGATTTCGACGCCGCACAAAAAGCAGGTGCTCCCGGGCTGAGCTAGCCATCCCGTCTGCCTCTTGGAGGTTAGCGTCCTACAAAGCTGCAAGAGACATAACAAGCACGAATCGTTAGCGTTACAATGCAAGGAATTAGGTTTAAGCTTCCCAGACATAAAGCCCTAAAGAGTGTTTATTAAAGCCCCACCATGCAATAATCTTCTGTTGTCAAAATAAAACCTATTACTCTACTGTCAACGGATGATGTCAGAAACAGCTCCTGAGAAACAGACTGAGGTCACATGAAGGGAAAGGCCATCGCACACCTGTCGCCCTTGATTTCACTGGGCACAGCTCCTCCTGGAAATTAAGGAGAAGGGGATTTCGCTACTAGCCCTTTTAGGTCTATCCTTTCCCAGACACCCCACCTACAGAAATGGTCCTCTTTTCTTTCACCTCGCCCCCCGACATGTATTTGTTTCCTGTTGAAATTAAATTTTAAAATAGCAAGACAAAAAATTTTGACACAGTTGAAATATACAGTTGAGCACAGGTTAACTTGCTCAATTTCCTTCTCACAGGAATGTAACGCATTAGAGTCTTTTTCAGGAACCTGCTCAAATGTCACCTCCTCTCTTAAATACAGTGGCCATTGTCTTTAAAACTGCAACACCCCAGTCTTCCCCCTCCCGCCCCTCTCCCTGTGTTTTTCTCCAATAGCAATTATTATGATCTGATGTGCCACACAGTACCATGTACTTATTTATTTGGTTACTGCGTACTTCTCCCAACAAGAATGTAAGCTTGGGGAAAGGACAGTCTCCTCAATAAAGGGTGCTGGGAAAACTGGACAGCCACATGCAAAAGAAGGAAACTGGACCCTTATCTTATACAATACAAAAAACTCCAAATTCAAAATGGATGGAAGATTTGAACATAAACCCTGAAGCCATAAAACTCCTAGAAGAAAACACAGGCAGTAAGCATCTTGACATCAATCTTGGCAATAATTTTTTGATCTGACACCAAAAGCAAAGGCAACAGAAGCAAAAATAAGCAAGTGGGACTACATCATACTAAAACACCTCTGAACAGCAAAAGAAGCCATCAACCTTGACGCTCTCCTGTCTCTATAAAGCAGGAAGAGTGCCCCAGCAGTGCTGTGTATAGCGAGGGAGGAGATGAAGTGGAGAAAGGATGGAGGTTAGCCGTGTATCTCTTTAACAAACACTCAACACAGCACTTACTCTTTTAAGTGATTTACAAATATATATAGGTTATTTGGAAGACTTGTGTTTATAAATCAATAGCTGCACATGCTTAAACTTTACCCTGTCTCAATATGTTCATCTATTAAATGGAGGTGACTTTACGGTACCATGCAAGATTGTTGTAAGGATTAGAAAAGTCATAAGTGAAAGTATTCAGTAAAAAGCAATTACTGTTACTTTAGTAATAATGTAATTACTGAATTAATTAATGCACTATTTAGTTTGGGTAGCTCCAAGGACTGGAAGACAGTTAACAGAAGTCAAACGCTGCAGGCAACCTTTACACATGAAAAATCACTGTGAGTTCTGCCTCGTGCTAGATGACCCTGCAATGGGGAAAGAAGGAGAAAGCAGTCCCTCCTTCCCCTGCCTCCCTATTCGACATGGCTTCTGGCTCCCAGAAGCCAGAAATCAGCTACATGAGGAAACACAGCCCTTTGAGTTAAAGCTTCAGAACTCAACCATGTCTCTTAAATAATTGTTTCTACATTTAAAAAATTAATTCCAATCTCCAAACAATCCACGTGGGAAAGAACTTTTAAAGCTGAGCACCTACAAGCCGGTGACTGCACACAGTGAAGGGCGAGATTAGAGAGAGAAGAAATTAGAAGAACCTCGGGCACAGAATATGAAGCAAGGCAGTTGAAACCTCACTAAGAGTGATGAGCAGGGAGCCATTCCAGGGTCTCGAGCAGAAGAGTCAACATATGAAATATAGTTATGAGAATTAGAGAGCCTCCGAAGGGCTAGGAGGGAAACAGCAGTGGGGAAACCAGTTAGAAGCAGATTAGTTAAGATATCTGGCACTGAGTGCTGAGAAATGGATTTTAGTAACACAGAAAGGAAATATATCAATTGGGAATATTTCAAAGAAAGAACCCAAAGACTTGGCAACAGAATGAATACAGGGGATAAAAGTGGGGGAAAATTAGGATTAAGTCTAGATTTTCAGTCTAAGTGACAACAGAATCCCAGAAACATTGACAGGGCTGAGAAAATCAATACCATCTTGGGTGGGTTTGAAGTAAATGCAATATATCCAAGTAACTATGTCCCAAGGACTCTTGTGAGGGTAGGCCAAGTTTCTGGTTATTATGAGGCCAGGGGTAAAACAAATATTCAAATGCAAGTTTCTGCTTAATAATAGCCTTATTATTTATTAAATAGAATCAACTATGCCATTTCATCTCAAAAAGTCTTATTAGTTCGGGGTTTAAAAGCCTCATTAAGGGGGCACCTGGGTGGCTCAGTTGGTGAAGCATTCAACTCTTGGTTTCAGCTCAGGTCCTGATCTCAGGGTTGTGAGATCAAGACCTGTGTCTGGCTCCATGCTCCCGTGGAGCCTGCTTAAGATTCTCTCTCTCCCTCTGACCCTCTAACCCCCTCCTGCTCGTACTCACTCCCTCTCTCTCTCTCTAAAAAATTTAATTTAATTTAATTTAATTTTAAAGAGACTCATTCAGATATTTTACTCTACATAACTTAGATCAATGTAAAAGAAATAAAATTAGAATGCTTAGATTATAATGAGGGACAAGAGTCAAAGCCTGTATTGGAAAACTTCATTTTTTCCCTATAGGAAAAGTAATGTATGTTTCAGAGTTCATGTTTCCATGGAAAATAAGATCAAACATCATGCAAAAATTAATTCTCAAAGTTGCATGAAAATGAAAAAGAAATCAAAACACTCTAAATGTTATAGATAAAATTTTACTTTATAATTTTACTTTATTCAATGCAATATTCTCACATGGGAAAATTAGCTACCGAAATGACAGAGAATGGCTGCTTTATATTTTCTCCTACTGAAATCTAAGAATTCTTCATTTGCTTCTTGGTTTCATACCTATGTCTTATGCAATAAGAAAGACAAATTGTTCTTCAGAAAATTATCCATGCTCTTCTGAAAAGCTTTAGAAGGTAAAGCTGATGGTAAGGGAAACTGATTAGTACCCACCATATTTATTAAACAGAAAGCTGGTCCTTTCAAGCTCCTTAGACAATCCCTTCCATGAGGAGCCTCTGCAGCAGCTCTATGTCCCATTCCCAAAGGACACAAGGTAACGTAATGCAGCACTCCTTAAAACCCCTCCTATTTATGATTAGGTCTGCATTGTGCTCCTCTCTCAGATAACTGACATCTGCTTAAACAACAGCTAAAAACAAAATCACTTTTCTTCCAGAGGTCAAGAGAGATGCAATTACCAAGCAAACTGCAAAACACCTTAGTATACAACTTCATTTCCAAAAGAAGCAGATTTTGTGTAGAAGATACAGACAGTAGCAGATGACAGATACAGTAAGCAAGTGTTTTTATTTAAAATATTTTTGCTCAAGAATCTGGGGGTGAACATCAATTTACTAAATCTCACCTGAAGGGCAAGTACTGACAACATTCCTTGTCAAAAGATTTTTACAAACTAGAAATACACCCTAGGATTTCAACTTCTTAGACTGGACACTGATACATAAAACCAATAATAATAACAAAAATCCTTGTTTAACCTTTCAAATTCCAAAAAAATACCACACAAACACACACACACACACGCACGCACGCACACACACCTGCTCAACCATACTATGCTCCAAACTCCATGTGTGCTTTACTACATAAATGAGGAAAATAAGAGGGGAAAAAGCTATGTCAAGAGACACAAAGGAAAACATAATTAGCCTACAATAAGCAGAGATGTGAGAAATCTAGGAAGAGAAATCCGCGACCCATCAGACCCGCAAGGCTAGTTGACATATGAGATGAAGAAAGCTATCACCGAATTCTCACCTGAAGGTGCCTCCCCAGTAGATTTCCATCATATCTGCTGCTACGAGAAAGCAATCATAGTAATTACTCAGTGTTTATCATATATAATCATAACTCCAATGTTCAGCTTCCTCAGCAAAAATGTTCTAGTAAATTGATTAATACCAGGAAATCCCTGCTCTATGAATTGCCAGTAAATGCTCCCAGGACACCGGGGCATTTTACGGAGAGCCCAAGGTGACTGAACCTTCCACTCACTTCCTCTTCTCAGGTGGAAAAGTATCAGAAAATGCAAGTTTCCCTCCAGCCTGCTGCTCTTTAGGAAAAGCCTCTTCCTCTTGTAATTTTATTCAGTAATATGTTAGGATCCACAACACAAAAACAGCCCATTTGTCAGTTTGGAAAAGGGATGTACACAAATGGGGAGAAATAATTTTAAGTTCCAAAAGTTTTTCATTTTAAAGACTGAGTCCAACAGTGCTTGCAAGATGTTGTTTTGGCCTTAAATCACTAAATATACACTAGATAAATAAATAAGAGAAAATAATTCAGATTTGGCTTCATTCTTTTTAGTTCTTTAAATTCTTTTTAGTTCTTTAAATTATTAAACCTCTCTTTGCAGGTGTGAATGGATAATTCCCAAAAGAAAAAAGTTAACTAATTAACACTATATATCAAAAAACACATTTTAAAAAAATGAGATATAACTTTTTATCCATTAAAATGTCAACTCTGAAAAATAACAGTACTCAGAAGTGAAGGTGCAGCAAGACACACACTCGTAGGCCGCTGAGAGAGAAGTTTCACACAGCTTGCCAGCACCCTGGGAGAGAAAAGGCATCTAGACCAAAACTGAAGGCAGTTTCCTCAAAAAAAAAGGAAGTGGTTATTAGAAGAAGAGGACATGAATGTTGGACAAAAATAAAGGAAAAAGAAAAAAAAAACTAACAAAATATCAGCACCCAAATGACAAACCCTTATATATATAATGAGAGAAGAAAATAGAACAGGATCCCATGTATGGGAGGAGGAAAGGCAATAATGTTACTCATTTACCTCAAAAGTTGAA